CTCACCTAGCTCGTGGATGCTGTCACACATTGCTGCTGACCTCATGACAAATAGAAACCCAGCACAGGCACCTGCTGATCCTAGGCAGCGCTTCTCCCCACTTCCCCCCTAGAAGGTCCCCTTCTCACAAAACTGCAAGCCTGGCCAAAAGTCTCCCTGAGCATGCTGGGCTTAGCTCATGAATGCCATAACTGCAGCACGTTCCTCTCACTGGTGCTGCCCTCACAGCAAAAGGAAGCCACATTCAGGCCTCTGGCACCCCTGGGCAATAATTCCCACTCCAGCCTGGCAAGCTGCTTTCTGTAAAACTATAAGCCCACCCAATTCACTCCAGACCCCCAAGTACCCTGCACTTAGCTCATCAATGTTGTCACACACTCCTGATGTCCTGACAGCAAAGCCTGGCACGGGTGTCTACTGCTCTGAGGTGACACTACCTAACTCCCATGCCTGGTAGGTCCTTTGAAGACTAGAAAGTTGCAATGAAAACTCCCCTCACTCCCATCACTTCGCTCGTGAATGCTGCATGTTTCTGGTAACAGCACCGCCCTCCCAGTGAAGGGAAGTCACGGTCAGGTGTCTGCTGCTCCTAGGCAATGCCTTCACCCCTTACCTGAACAAGCCCACCCAACTGCTTCCTCCAAAGGGAGAGGAGGCACGAAGACTGCCAACACTGCCCACTTCTGGTGCCCACATCACCCTCGCACCTAAGGGGTGCCCTGCAAACCCCACTCTTTGGCCATGTGCTTCCCTCATTCTCGCAAGAAAAAGCTTATGAGGGCGAGGAACAAGCCTGTCTCAACAGCCCTCAAGCACCTGGGATTTAGCTTGGGGATGCTATTAATGCTGCCAGCACTTCCCTCAGAGCCATGCACAGGTGTCCACTGCCTCAGGCTGATGCTCCTTGGTGGATCCCTTCTTGTGAGAGGCCACAAGACAACCAGGAAGCACCCCAGTGCCCCGCACCTGAGCTCGCTAATGCTGCCCACGCTGCTCGCACTGCCCAGACCAGCTGCCTTACTGCCCTGCTGGTACTTCCCTCCTCCCTCCTCACTTCTTAGACCTGCCAAGCTCCGTCAGATGCCTCCTCCCCTGTGACATGTTGCTCCTCCCTGAGCTTCCAGGCTCTGCCCTGCCCCACACTCCTGCCCCCCAAGAGGGACGGGGAGAGCCATCTGCCTTCCCCAAACCATACAGCCCCCTCTCACCAGGCTGCCAGCCCATCTGAGCGCCCCGCGGTGCCGCTCGGATGGTGAGCAGAGTCCCACTGCCAGCGCTGCCCCACCACGCACCTTCTGCAAGGACAAAACTCCCCCCAAATGCCTCCCTGGCCACCGGCCACTTTGCTCACCAAGGCCACAGCTGCAGCCACCGCTGCCACCCACGAGTGTACTGAAGCTAGCAGGGGCACTTGTTGGTCTCGAGCAATGTGACCAGTCCCCAGCCCCCAGCCCCCATCCCCTGCCCTGTCCAGAGGACCAATGGCCCCCTGCCATTGCTGCCGCCTTCGAGGCCACGCGCAGGCTGCGCCACTACTCCCACCTCCTGGCTCTCTTCTCATGAGACTACGAGCCCGCCCAGACAACCCCAAGGCACTCAGCTCACCTGAGCCGTTGCTGCTCTCACACCGGAGGTGAGGACATGAGGGGCGTGGGGCACGGGAACACCTTTTCTCCCCCGCGCTCCCCCTTTTTCCTTTATACTTCCTTCTTTCCTTCTGTTCTTCTTTTATTTTTTCTTCTTTCTTTTTTCTTCTTTTTCCATTCTTCTTTCTTCCTTCCTTCTTCCTTGCTCCAGGCAGGCTGGTAAAAGCAGTCCCTGACTGTGTTAGTCGGTGTAGCCAGCTGTATTTGTGTTGTGTGTGCAGTGTCTGTGTACCTGTCCCTTTGAAATACAAAGTCAGTGTCAGTACGCGTCAGATCTACCAATGGGATCATCAGTAGCCACATCTATCAGACTAGGACATGAAGAATCCCCTGGGTCCTGGAGTTCCCTGGATTCAGCAGCCCTCTAACAATTTCTTGATGTAGGTGATCGATGAACCAACTGCAAGAAATGCTCTGTTGGACCTACAACTAACAAACAGGGAAGAACTGGTTAAGGATGTGAAGGCTGAGGGCAGCCTTGGCTGCAGCAACCATGAGTCAAGGGGGCGTAAGATCCTGAGAGGAGTGAGTAAAATAAATATCAGCATTATAACTCTGGACATCAGAAGAGTAGATTTTGTCCTATTCAGTTCATGGGAAACTGCCCAGGAGGGCAAAGTGGCCCAGGAGAGCTGGCTGATCTTCAAGGACAGCCTCCTCAAAGTTCAAGGACAGTTTGATATACTGTTACATTGCAAGTCAAACAAGTGTGGCAGAAGACCAGCATGGATGAACATGGAGCTCTTGACTGAGCTCAGGAACAAAAAGAAGAATACAGAAGGTGCAAGTAGGGACAGGCTGCTCAGGAGGAATGCATAAGCTTTGCCTGCACATGTAGAGTGGAGTCAGGAAAGCCAAAACTCAGCTGGAGTTGAATCTAGCAAAGGAGGTGAAGGGCAATGAAAAGGGCTTTTGTAAATGCATGGGGAGCGTAATGATGTCAAAAGAAGTGAGGCTTAATGGGGCAGGGAACCTTGTGACAAAGAACATGGACAAGGCTGAGGTACTCTGCGCCCTCTTTGCCTCAGTTTTCACCGATAAGGCCTTCCATCAAGGTTCCCCAGGTCCCTGACACTACTAGCAGAGTCTGCGGATGTGAAGCAGCACTCAGAGCTGAGGAATATAGAGTTAGGAATCATTTAAGCCAGTTAGACATACACAAGTCCATGGGACCAGATAGGCTGTATCCAAGGGTATTGTCATTGCAAGGCCACTCTCTATTGTCTTTGAAAGGTCATGGCATTTGGAGGAGGCTCCTAATGGCTGGAAATAGGCAAACATCACACCCACCTTCAAGAAGGGTAAACAGGAGGATCCAGGTAATGACAGGCCAGTCAGCCTAACCTCAGTCCCTGGGAGGGTTATGGAACAAACCCTCTTAGAAGCTGTTTCTAAACACATGCAGGACCGGAAAGTGACTGGGAACAGCCAATAAAAGAGCAAATCTTGCCTAACCAACATCATCGCTTTCTATGATGACGTCCCCTGTCACTGTGAGCAGGGGAAGGGCAGTGGACGTTTTATGCCTTGGCTTTAGCAAGGCCTATAACACAGTCTCCTGGAGTCTTTTTATCATGAAGTTGGTGAGCTACAGGCTGGATAAGTGGACTACAGGGTAGATGGAAAATTGACTGGACTGCCAGGCTCAAAGAGTTATGATCAATGGTGCAAAGTCCATCTGTTAACTAGTAGGGGCATCCCTTAGGGATCAGTACTTGGACCAATACTGTTTAAGGTCTTCATTAATGACTTAGATGTTAGAACAGATTGCCCTGTCAGCAAGTTGGTAGATGACACAAAATTTCAGGGAGTGGTTGATATGCTGGAGAGAGGGGATGCTATTCAGAAGGACAAGAGCAGGCTGCAGAAATGGGCTAACTGGAACCTCATGTAGTTCACCAAAAGCAAATGCAAAGTCCTGCATCAGAAATGGAATAACTAGGAAGCAGCTTTGCAGAAAAGGAGCTGGAGGTCCTGGTGGACAATAAGCTGAATATGAGCCAGTAGTGTGCTCTTGCAGTAAGCAAGTAGACAGCAGGTCAGGGAAGCAATCCTTCCTCTCACCACTTGGGAGACCACGTCCGGGGTACTGTGTCCGCTTTTGGCCTTCCCAGTACAAGAATGATGCTGACGCACTGGAGTGAGTCCAGTGGAAACCAGCAAGCTGGTCAGGAGGCTGGAGCACATAGCCTACCTGGAGAGGTCTTTTTTCAGCCTGGAGAAGAGAAAGCAAAGGGAAGACCTTATTGCTGACTGGAAGATGCAGCAAAGATGAAGCCAGACTGTTACTGGAGGTGCACAGCGATAGGCCAAGAGGCAAAAGACACAACCTGAAACATTAGGCATTCTGATTAGATAGTGGGAAAACTTTTTTACCATGAGGGTGGGCAAATACCACAGCAGGTTGCTTGAAGAGGTTGTAGACTCTATCCTTACAGATGCTCAAGACTTGACTGGACAAAACCCTGAGCAACCTGATCTAATTAGACCTACTTTGAGCAGGTCTAGCTGGTTGAACTGGATGCCTTCAATCCCTTCCAACCTCAGCTATCCTGTGATTCTATAAAACAAGTATTTGCAGCTAATTTTTCTAAAGGACTCAGTTCCTGTCTGAGTGGTACAATCATTTTCTAAAAGAGGTGGGTAGATTGAGTCCAGAACCTTTTGGAGACCATTCATAAATTTTCATGAGGATAGATGCCAAGTGCCAGCCTCTTTTGATAATCTAGTCTTTTAACTGTGTTTTAAAACTTTAACAGAGGGAGGAATATAAAAATTGCATCTCTGCTAAATGTGTGGGAGATATTCCTCATAGATTGATGTCTGCCTAAAAAAATACAGTTTTTTCACCCAAACAAATGAAAAGTCCTTAGTTAACTGTAAAACAATTTAGTTGGTGTCCTTAATTTTATTTAATAATGTTCTACAGGGAAAGACAAAGTTTCTCTTACTTGTTTTCTGTTTTAAACAATGATAGCACCCTTACTGGAGAATATTGGCGGTTCTAAGTAGGCTTGTCACAACAGCAGCACTAACATATGATTTGTAAGAGTCTCTGCATTATCATCAGCTGTTGTAATACTACTGGAGCGTTTGCATTTGCATAGGTGTTTTTATGAAGAAAAGGCATCTTTTTTAAACATTCTGTGATTCCAGAAGTGCTTTCCAGGGTAGAATCTTTCCCATATAGTAGGTGTGTGGGCTTGTTTTTTTCAGGTACTATATGTATATTGATTTTCAGAGTCAACATATGCAAAAAAAAAATCTTAATTTTTTTTTGGTATAGAGAGGTATATATTTGTAATGCATTTTAGTTCTTTGTTTTTTAGTTATGAATCTGTATACACAAGCTCATGCGGGTTTAAACTGCATGGGTTTAATTAAGCTAATCCAAACCCTTCTCCGAGTGCTTATTTCAAATTCTAGTTTTGTTGAAATCAGTTGAATGCAAACTGAAAGTCTGTTTACACAGGTCTTCTTTTTGGTTTTACTGTACTGTTACAAAGCTCATTTCAGGTTAGGTTTGCATGAGAATCTTCCTGCCTTTGCTATACTACTGAGCATGTGGGAAGGATTAGGGAAATAGGGCTAGTAGAGCAGATGGATACATAGCCTGCCTGCTAAATACCAGCAAAACAGTCTGCCAGAGAGAAAAATAGTTTTTCACATTAGGTGACAGACAGACATTCACACTGCAAAAAGCTGTACCTGTTCCAAGTATTATCCCCACCGCTTGCTTAGCTGACAACAGATCGTGTTAAATATGCCCTAACTCATTTCAGAGAAATGTGAGTTATCGTGAGCAGTCGACAAGGGGGGCTGCAGCTGATACGGCTGAAGCCTTTCAGAAGAGTTACAAGCAGCAGAGAGCAGGCAGTGAAGGCGTACAGCAGCCTAGCCACCTCCAGGAGAGCACTTCACTCTTTCTTCTTTTCACTTTTATCTTCTGCTCTTCAAGAAAGAGGTAGAAACCACAACTCCACAAGGGGGCTCTGCCAACATGGATCTTAGTAACACAAACTCTTCCAGCCCAGACGCTCTGAGTGATGTCAATTCAAACCTTGCCTGTAGACAAGGCCTTTTGTTGCTTTTATGAAAAATGGTCTTAAAATAAACCAAAATATGCCTGATTTGGCATGACATAAAAGCACCATTTTTGAATCAGAGTCTCTAAAGCAGTTTAAATTTCGGACTTTAAAAGTGGTATAGTTGTAGTTGGTAATGTTGTTGTTAACGTAATCAGTATTGCAGTTCACTCTAGGTCCCCTCCAGCGGAAGCAGCTAATACAGGGGGCCTAGCCGATAGATGTTGTGTGATCTACATGTGCCGGGAACGTGTATAAATGACAAGGAAATTACTTGGATGCCTTTTTTATACTAGGTCTCCCGTAGCTGAGAAGACTTGTACCAGCAATAGTTTAGAAAAGTCCGGTGTAGGCGAGGCTTTTGAGCTCAGTCACGTAGGGAAAATACTACCCTATATGAGAAAAATATCTTCCTCCTATGCAAAACGGAACACAGTACAGAGGAAGGGGCATTTGAACAACACACACTGAGCAATGTAAGACAGCTGAGCTGCTTAAGTCTCCTTATATCTTTTAATACAACCCCCACTGAAATTCTGAATTACACATTAACTGTGTAATGGTAATCACAAAAATATCAGGAGAAGATACATTCCAGTTCAAGGAGACGTCTGTCCCATAAAGCGCAGAAGAAAAATCGGGTGGTGAAGGTCATTTAAATGCCATTGTACATGTCCCCTGGAACAATCAGCTAGGCTAGCATCTGTCAAATAATAGCATCTGTCAAATTCACAGGGCTTGACTGCTTGCTGCTATTAGTAGAAGCAGCCACTGTGATTACTAGCACTAAAAGATATATAGGTGTAAACAGCCAGAGCAGCAGTGACATAGGAGGATGAAAGCTGGGTACAATACACAGGAAAAGCAGCTGCAGCTTTAGAGAACTAGTGCTTACTAGCTGGCGCTAGAGTGGGCTCCTTCCTCGTGGCACAAGGCTCACATGACCACCATGATGTCTTCCAGTGGCTTTCGGGTCAGTGCAGGCACAGTGGCGTCTTTCTTGGGATAGCCGACAGGGAGCAGCAAGAGAAGCTTCTCGTTAGCTGGGCGCTGGAGCAGCGCCCGCAGGTGCGGGCCACAGTTCAGCGGTGTGGAGGTCACTGTGTATAGGCCTGCATTCTGCAACAAGACAGACAGGAACAGCTCAACAGGAGGAAGAATGAGATAGAGGTCAGTGCTCTGTATTTGTATCTGTTATTCTCATGAGCTCTGTACTCATTCTCATATTGATTAACCCAGAAATACTGCTTCATTAAACTGTTCTGCAGGCTTTAGAACATCTAATTTACTAATAGCCACAGTAACTAAGTGGCTAACTCAAAAAAAAAAAAAAAAGTCTATGTTTCTTGCAGAAAATTACAGCATTCCTCCAGTGCAGCAGGAGCCCAGGATAATGGAAACAGCCCTGTTCTGCCTGACATGTCTGCAGGTTGTACAGCAGGAGTTTGCATGAAGCAATCAGTGTAATAGGGGTTCCATTTTAATCAACAGCAAAGTTGAGAAGCAGTTGTGGGGATATTGCTGGAATATCATCCCGTGGGGTTAATCTGGCTCATGCTGATAAATGCTTTGGTTCTTGTACCCATGTGGCTGGCAGAAAGACGTCTTACAGCTTTGTGAGTGCTTATTCCTCAACAGCTGTACCTCTCAGGGAGAGGCGGCAGAAGAGTCTGTTGCCATATCTCACAGTGGCCAACATTTTGGCTTACAGCAGAACCCGAAAATACGCCTGTGCATCCTTCCCCCTCTCATAAAAAAATCTCACAAAAAAGCTAAATCATCTGACAAATAGTCAGATAGTTGACACTATCCAAAATATGAACACGCAGCTGAGGGGCATACTGAGAGTTGTGCCTGAGGATTTCAGTCTCTCCCTCTATTTAAGGCAAGCGTTTTTGGGAGGCTTCAGGCTATAAAAGATAGCCAGGGAGACATGCGCAGGCAGTGAACTTCTCATGTTAAGTAACATCTAGGATTCTGTGAAGAGGAGGACAGCTAGTAGCAGTGATGCTGAGTATTATGGGTCCGTGGCACTGACTGTGTTCTTTAATGTTGTCAATTAATTTCTAAGAGCTGGGAAGGAGACAGTACTAAATTACTCAACAGTTGGTAGGGAGTCTCGGAAGTCTCACTCGGTGATGGGCTTGCTCGGAGGAAAATGGAGCCTCTAATTAGAGCAAGGCTCTAGTGACACGCTGCTGCTTCTGCCCCGTTCCCTGTGCGTCCCCTTTGTTCTTAGATCCGTGGAGGAAAAGTACAGACCCCTGTGCAGTTGCAGAGCAGCAGCATTCTCGTGACGTGCTCCTGCACTGCTCCCTTCTCAGATCTCCCACCCTGGAGATCCTCCTACAGCACAGCAATGCGGGCAGGGAACTGCCGCTCAAAACGGAACAGAGGAGAAATGGCAGTTCCCGGTAGGAAATTGGCCTAATATAAAAGATGGCATCTTGCTATTATCCTGTTGACAGGCCAAACTAATAACTGGAATATCTTCACTATTTAAACACTTCTGCAATCACATCAGATATAACAAGAAAAACTGAACACTGAGTAACCAAAGAGAAAATCAAATATGCTGCTCTTTAGAAATCAGTTCGTCTTCAGAAATGCTTCAGAAAGATTGATGGAAATGGTACAACCTGTTCTGTGAAATATGTCCATGATTTTTTTTTTCCAGCACTAAAAATAATTTCGGGTCAAGTCATTTTTTAAGGGTTTACTGAAAGTAAAAATGCTGGTATGGAACTGTACAGCCATGCTTTGGTAACCTGCAGACCCTTGTCAGCCCTGTTAAAAAAAAGCAGTAATCACAGATGCTGAAGTCTGTGCACGGAGAACAGCGACAACTCTGTGAGGTAAGCTGCATTACATTTTTATTCTTGTTAACGAGTACCGAGGACAGGAATCACCTTCTCAGACACGGGCCCAGGCAGAGCCAGCACTAGCATTTCTCATGTTAATGAGAATTGAGTATTTAAGCAGGAAAATTCACTTTGAGTGAATTAGTTATTCAAAGAATAACTTTAAAACTCAAAACTAAGACATATTGCCAGGAATTGGAGCAGTTCCAGGGGACTGCTAATGTTAAAATCTAAATTGCTTGGGTTCATTCCTCACTGGGGCAAAATAACCTTGGTATGTAATCCAGACCAATTCACTGACTCTCAGCACGGCAGTGCTCTCAACATACCTGCAGTGCGGCAAGCAGGATACCACAGGCAATAGAAACGCTAATTTCATTGTAGTAATGGGTCTTCTTTTTGCCATTTGGAAGTCTCCCATATACCTGCTTGAAAATGAGGATCAGATAAGGAGCAGCGTCCAGGTACTCTTTGATCCAGTTGGTTCTGCAAAAGAATAATGTTTAAGACAATTATTTTGCAACCTTATCGCCTTCCCATAAGTCACACTTACTGCCTGCGAAGGTGCAGTAAAGGCATGCAACAATTATAACACTAGATTAAAAGTAAGGTTAGAACAGTTAGAGCAAACGATTAGGTATTATCAGCTTACGTAGAAACCTTTCTGCAGAAAGAGGCTTGAATGGAGCTCTCATTTTTAACACATTCAGCTGTGGAGTTGATGTGCTGACCCTAAAGAGCGGAGTTGCATAAAAATGGGAGGCAGGTCTTGACCTCTTATCTATGAACTGAACTCTATGAGCATTTGCCCTTGAGACGATTTAATTCCTGGAATTCTATAGACCTGCAGCTCTCCCTGTTATCATCAGTGCCAATTTTTTTGTGGTTGCAGGAAAAACTGCTGGCAAAAATTGTCAAAACTGCTTGACCTAAGGTATTAACCTAAATATACTCGTACAGATCATTATCCTGTTTCTAAGTATTTCGGCCCTTTTAGATTTCATTTGGCTCTTAATTCAGTATTATGAGAATATACGCAATAAATATATAGGATTTAGATAAGAAAAGGTGTATTTTCTACTATTCTCACACAAAATATAAAAATACTGTATTTTAGTTGTTTATATAGCAAATATGTTTTGCTGCACCCGAAAAATAAATAGCATTATGAAATAGGTTGGGCAAATTGACTCTACAAAGCCTTGCGCACATGCTTCATTTGACAAGCAGTAGATTTCTTCCCATTAGGCAAGTCACTCAGAATTTGCAGGGTATTTGGAGCAATTAAATATTGCATATTTCAAAGCTTGCATAGGGTCTGGCCTTAGGGACACTTCAGTCAACAGTAAAGCTCCCAATGACTTTGGGAACTACATTGCTTGAGAAACAACAGGAGAGAATTGGGATAGGATTTCTGGCAATAGAGGTAACAGAAGAAAAATAACGATGGAGCCAAATGCTTGGACAAGTCTCAAAAAGGGGAATATATAATCTCTTTTTAATGGAGGCGATTTTATGGACCAGCTGTCAGGGCACAGTTCTAGTCATATCTTTAAGTTTTTCTTCTTAACTGTGAGTTTTAGGAATATATTAATTGGGGGGATGGAGAGAGGAAAGGAGAAAGATACTAGGAAAAAACAAGACCAGCTTCTTTTATCACTTGGGCTTTCTAAACTGTGGCACTCAGTAAGATTCCTGCCACCTTGAGATCCAAGATAAGGCTGTACAAAGGGTTGTATGTTATGTTATGTGTATACATGTGTGCTGAACATTAATGATTGTGTAATACTGAGAGTATAATTCACTTCTTTCATCCCTCTTCTGGTAAGATGGAAGCACACGGCATGTGTGTGTCTGTTAGGTGCCACATTTCACCTGACCCTTAGAACAAGGTAGCCAGCGTTGCAATACAAAGACAGTAATTTTTATTGAGCTCCTGCTGGGTGAGAGCTCCGCTTTCCTCCGGAAGCAGTTTCCTCTTACCAGGTGTAAACCAGTGAAAGGGCCGCAATAGAGAGACCTTGACAACACACTGACTGGGACAGTCTCTGACCTCATCTTCTTCCTTCTCCTGTAATCAGGAAGTGGGAAATATATTACAGCTGCCCTCCTGAGCAGAGCAGGAAAACAGGAGTGTCTAAGGAGCATGGACCTGAAAGCACGTTTTTAAAATAAAGTTTTTAAAACTGAGCTGAATATTTTTAGGGTGTTCTTTCTTCCTGAAAACATATGGAACAATACAAAAAGAGAAGCTGTATGTAACTTCTCAATATAATCTTTCCTAGACCAAAACCCAGCTCCCTTCAAACCACTTAGCCAACTGACTTTTTTGTACCTCAGTCTTTTCAGGTCATTAACCCATCTGTCTCCCATCCTTTTTTTGTAGTTTATTTCTTCTTCTTCTTCCACAATCTCCCGAATCTTATGTTTTAAAACTGGATCTTGCACTACCACAAAGGTCCAGGGTTCAGTGTGCGCTCCGCTGGGTGAAGTACCTGGGTGCGAAAACAGGAAAAGAGGAAAACCTGGCACGATGCTGAAGGAGGGCCTGCAGTGGGAGGTATCAGCTTTCCTTTGTGGGCTTTGGGACTAACCACCAGAGCAACGGGAAGGCAAGTTCATGAGATGGGAAGAAACGGACCGAGATAAGTTCTTGCTGACAATCTCTATCCATTTGTTTATTGAAGAATGTAAAATCCCATTCAGTGACAGAGGTTAGTCCCTTCAAATAGCCATCTTACATGGGAAGCAAAAGTTAGAGATTTGAAAAAATTCCCCTGTGCTTCTTATGATGAGGCAGTAATATGATGCAATATGTGCATGCAGCGATGTTAATGCAAAAAGCATTCTACCCAAAGCAACGCACCCTCTGAATATGCAGCCAGCTCTCAGAAAAGGTTCTGGCTGGAGGGCAAAGCTAACGGCTTTCTGGGAAGCAAGGCTAACCAGCCATGCACAGGAATCCACCCCCGTCTGACAAAGATGAGGAACTGCACGATGCAAACATCTGCCATATAGCATACAGGTTTGAGTTTGTTGTCTCAAAGACAGCTGGTGTATGTAGGTGTGCACACAGGTAAATCTGCGCTTGCTCATTCAGCCCTGATCTTTACACACCATCATCACTGGAGAACTTTTTAACTGCCTAACAGATGAAAGCCGAAAACTGAAGAATGTACTTGTACAAGCTCTCAGAGCAATCAGTTAAGGACACTGTTTAGGTCTTCCAGCCCCTTGTAAACATTTTTAAAATATTTCAAGTTTCAATATACTGTCTTGCAGACAGTATATTTGCCTCTCTGAGCACTAAATTCAGCTTAAGAAACATTATGAATAAACAGCTTGAACTGCCTTTTATGTCACAACATGGTTAAATCAAGAACCTTGCCTCTCCTCAGGTCTGGATAAGAACTGATGACATTTACGTTTTGCTCTGTTTTCTTTTCCTGCACACAGCCCAAAGCTTTCAGGGTTACAAAGTACTTCATCTGTACTCCAGGCTTGTTCACTCTGCTGCATTTGCCAAAACATGTTTAGTGTTTTAATGAATCCCAGCTAATTAGAGGAAGATGGAGACTCAGAAAAGTGCAGTAACAAAGCTGCTTACAGTTTTTAAAGGAAAAACAATGTACCTCAGATGCTAAGAATCTCTATTATTAGTCCTACTAGAGGCTATTGAACTTTCCTCTAAGGCAGCTTTTGAATGTTTTGCTGTACTAACAGTAGCTGGTTCAGAAAATAAGAGAAATAATGAGGGTCAAATCCATTCCTGGCCCAAGTCAACATTGCTAGAACAGGGATGAGGTTAGGCCAGGACATTACAGTAATGATCTGAAACATATGAATTCTCAAAAAATGAAAATTAATTTCTGATACTTATTCAAATAACCTTAACCAGAGTCATTAGCATAACACTCCAGTCATACCCAATAGGGACCAGGCACTGATGTTGAAAGGGCTGTAAGATTTTTTTTCTTTTTTGTTTAGACAAAACCTTTTGTCTATGATAAGTCTTAAACATTTATGTCAGCCAGAACACTATGCATGACTGGGCCAATTTCATCAGATTTTTTGCCCCCCCCAAAAAAGCACCCTACCAAACAAAAGCTTCACGTGATAAACATCTTCCAAATGAATGACATTTTAAAGCATGCGAAATTCCTACCATTTGACATTTTTGAGAAGGAAACACTACAGTATTTCTGTCTGAAAGGTGTTTCACAAAACAGTACTTCCATTTTATTTTAAATAACATTGTTAAAGCTTGAAAATGAAATGTTTCATGCTGTTGAAATACTTTCTTTTTTTTCTTCTTCTGGTTACACTGGAAATAAAAAGAAATTGGAAATGATCCAAACCAGACCCCACCATATAGTTGTTCAAGCAGCTCTCATTACCATACTGAATATTTTCTAAACAATCAATTGGTTCTTATTCAGTATGGCTACAGGTAAATCTAGAAAGACCATATGCCAAGTCCTAATTGCTTCAGCTTTTCTGTATCACTTTAACAGAGCTGAACAGCCGTGCTGTAATCTTTGCTTTCAGACCTTCATCCATTCAGTACCATACCTGCTGTTCTGATGACATTATCGATAACCTCCCTGGGGACTGGCTCATCACTGAGCAACCTGACAGACCTCCTCTTATTAAGAAGTTTGTAAAACTCTTGTGACCTTTTAATCATTTCAGCCTCAGAGTAGCGCTCAGCGAAGAAGGGGATATGGGCAATGTTTTCATCAAATCCTTGCCACTCTTCATCAACCTCTGCAAGAAAACAAAATAAGTGAAGCAGGAACTGTTAGGGCTTTCTGTGTTGGAGAAAGCTATTTATACCTTTGGCATTCACTGCTGTAATGAACTTTTACCTGTATTTGCATACATTGCACTTCTGCTTTGCTGGAAAGTCTAAGTCTGAGGTTCCAGCTGACACAGCTTATTGATTCCTAGCTCCAGCTACCAAATAAACATGTTTAAAAGCCATCAGCCAGAGGGGGGACTGGGGAGGGGAGGACGTGTCCTGGCTTACTGTAGCAAGCGTGATCCAGGAACAAGTTATGGCCTTCTGCACTCCAGTCTGCAAACCTGCCTGCAAAAGTGGTTTATGAGCTGAAAGTGCAGTGAAGAAGAGGCCAAATTACAGCCCTCTTTTCTCATTAAGTAAATATGAATATGCATGTTTCTTTTTCACAAGCACTTTCCTGAAAAAAAAAAAAAGTCAGTCAATCAAATTACTAAAGTCAAGGAGAGGGCTTGACTACCGAGATTTGTAAAAGCTCCTCTGAAGGGTAGAATATCTGCTTCATCCCATATTCATGTTTCACCACAGGAACGTTTCAAGGCTAGCCTTGTGCAAATGTGACTGTGTGGTTAAGTTCTTTGGTTTCAGAATACTTTCTGCACGAGGGGAAACGGGTGAGAGACATCTACACTTAGGATAACAATGTATTAAGTGCAGGATATCGTATTTCTTGCCTTTAATTTAAGAACTTAAATTGTTCTTTAGTTCATGGAAATCTGCTTCTTTCTATTTTTTTTATACTATAGATATTCTAACATAAAATACAGTTTCTGTTGTCTCAGAGATCTCTTCTTTCTCCCCTGCATTCCTAGTATCAGCAAGGATAGCATTTTTTGCAACTATGACACAGAAACTAAAGTCAGTTAAATTTTGCATTTCAGCTAGTCAGTAGTACTGAACAATCTGCTACAGCGTGCCGAATCAGGAAAAAAAAATACTCCAGTTCTTTTTTCAGTCATCATTAGGCTATTATTCAAAAATCATAGCAAATTCAAACAGCAATTATTTCTGCGTTTTAGTAGTATGCAGTTGTTTTGGAGACCACGCTGATCACTAGTTCATTTTGTAAACAACAGTAAAATGTTTCTAAGTGTGGCTCAGCATGTGCAAGAGGCTGCAATCTATCCAGTTTCGTATCTTGAATCTGAACAGAGTGATTCTGGATCCCAGACAACATACATTTTGCATTCAAAGAAGTCACCAAGAATCTTCCTTTCAGCATTTGTTAGGATTCTCAATCACAATCTGCAAAGACCTGGCTCCAGGGCCGTGGGAAGCAGTCACCAGTTGTAAAAACTACTTTGGGGGGGAATCTTGCACAACCAAACTGATAAAAGAGTACACATCTTTCTAGTCTGCCCTTTCTGTGTTATGGTTACTACTGTGGATGATTATTCGGTAGCAGCCAGCTGATTAGACTTGACCTTTGCTAGCATTCTGGTAACCTTCAGAAACTTTCACATCCCGTTTTTGCGGTTCCTCCTCCATGCTTGGCGAAGGGGATACCATGGGGTTACAATGGCTGTGTTTACACTAGCAAGTAGCATGGTGCAATAGGATTAGATCTGCAGAGAGGAACAACTGTAGCTGGGGACCCAATGTTTAACACTGTGTGTTTTGGAGTTGTTATTTCGAAGGAACTCTAGTTTGGTACAGTGAGCTGATCACCCACCAGTAGTTGGAGCACACCAGGTGCTTTCTGGGCATACATCTCTGGCTTACTTTTTTTTATACTAAAGGAGTCCAGTTCACTTGTTTTAACTGTTCTGGGATGTAGGCAAAAGTGTGGTACTGGGGACAATTAGGAGATTCACTTGAATCTGATCCAAATGCCTGATCCAGACTGAAACACTAACATAGATGCATCCAAGAATATATTTTCTTGGCCCAAAGAAATGAACGCCAGCTATATTCTTTCACATATACTCCTCAAAAAAAGGGGGAGAGGAGTACCATGTTAGACCACTAATAAATAAAAGTATGTTAGGTAAGACAGGCTGACCTCACTCCCACTGTGTAAAAGTCAGTATGCAGCTCTCCATGAAGACTCATAGGGAATGCATTTGTGGAACAGATCTCAGAATACGTATTTCTGCCTCTCACCTCTCTACGTCATGGTTTGGAAGAAGATGTAGCCCTCAGCCTAGGTGAATGGGTCTATGTAATAGAAGGCCTAGTGACCTTAGTTCGGTTTTACTGAGTCAATTGCTGTGAAGATGTGAGAAAGAACATGCGACAAAGCCATACAAGATAAGAACAGTAACCCAAAAAAAAAAAAAAAGTAGAAGTAAAAAACTGCCACAAGCAGAAGCGTAATATCTGAGACAGTGATAGTTAGCAGCTCCGGATTTGAGACAAAAAAATTCTGACCTGAGAATGTGTAAAGCCATATGAGAAAAAACAAGGTGCTGGGAGATGGCAACTCAGCAGCTCTTCCCAACCTGACCGATAACAGTCCGGCCAGCAGAGAACATTCAGAGGGTACCTTATTAGGGCAGATAAACCTATCACTGTTTAGCCTAGTAGCTCACTTGTTATAGCTATCTACTGTGTATGTTAGCCAATAAATCATTGTTTTGTAGTCTTAAATTGTGTATAGCCTGCGTGCAAAGTTTCTTTGCACGCTGTAGAGCTTGCTCAATAGTAATTAACCCACAGAGGGAGGGTTACAAAGAGATAAAACTCTTTGTTAGGCCAGTTGATACAGATTAGAGAAGAAAACATGCAAGCTTTGGGCACATAAACTCTCATGCAAGCTTCTCTTGAAGGGCTGATGTGCCTGGAAGCTGGTTTGCTACTTGCAGCTGCCTTGATTTGTCTAATAAAATAAATTCTCCCTCTCCAAATCCATATGGCAGTACTGCTACTACCGGAAAAAAGGATATTCTTTGCTAAACTGAGACCTAACAGTTACACAGATATGACATAGGTCTTAGTTTTATCCATTGGCACTCAAGTAAGAGGAGTTTCTAAATGGGTCAAATCTTGTCTTTCTGTTAACAAAACACTGAAGTCAACTCAGGCTGCGCATGTGTATCAGAAGGCAGGATCTGACCAAAAAAAACTATAGTTAAAGTAGGTATTAGATTGATGTCCTGGTGAAGATTTCAGGTCAGACTATTATTTGCTGAGGTGCTCACATCAACATGCTGTAGAGATCATCCCTATCCATTTCCCAGTAACAAGTTACCCTTGTGTGGCCTGGGAGAAATCCTAGAAATAAACAAGTAAAACTAATTCCAGAACCCAAGAGTTCCCATGTTCTCTTATTATTTACTTTCTTAGGGTGAGGATTTATCAAAGTTCAGAAAGCAGGAAATAGCAGATATTCAACGCACCCTACCTTTTATTCAGCCACTGATGGAGGAGACTTACTAGTTTGATATTGGTTCCTAAAGCAAATCAAGGGCCTGCTTGGCCATCTCCTTTTCTAGTATTATTGCAAAACCATGGAGAATCATTTTGAGTTAGAGATATTTAAACCAGTGTATAAACTACTGAAATCCTTTACAAAAGAAAGTTTGTCTGGCTGGAGGAACTTTGTGTAATCTGCCTACCTGGTTTTGAAACACAAGGAGAGGAAAATCAGGTAGGTGATAAATCAGCAATAGTTATGTGAATGTCAGAGAGCAGCAAGATGAACAGCAAGATTAGATTACTTACATAGATGCAAGCAGTAATCAGAGAGCTGACACAGTGGAAAGATTGTACTTAGTCCAAAGGGGATGTTGCTTCTGGCCAGTTGAATGCAGGAGCCTAACACAATAAACTGGAAGAACTATCAGTGCCTATATAGCACATGAAACAAGACATGACAGAGAAAAGAGAATCAGGATGCAGTAACCATAGCAGTACCCGGTCTGACTTGTTCAGGAAGCATACCAATAAAAAAAAATAGGGAATAAATGATGTTGTGCTAGACTGCAAAGAAATAAACACATAGCTTGGCTAAAACAAAGCTTTCTTTTTCAGATGCACTGTCTTTTGGGATAGCGTGGAGCCTACAAAGGCCCCCAAGGTCACATCTGAATCACAGGCCACATTTTTAAGAAAAGGGCATATTGCCTCAACTGTGTCACTGTTATGAAGTATACGTGGGAGGTAGAGCTTTCTAGGTATATACTGAAGAGGAAATATTATGGTAGTACCAGAAACCAGGCTTCCCTGCTGAAGCATCTGATATCTTGATCAAATAACTTGCTCTTTTCTTGGCTCAGTGACTCTCTTAGCTTTGGTTTCAGTGGGAGGGGAGGACATTATAAAAAAAAAAAAGTACCCCTACATTGAGATTATCATTTCATTCGGTTTAATTGCTTAAATGAAAGGGATAAAGAAAAATAGGTCTATAGCTGTGGGTCTCAATTTTTAAAGGAACAAACTTAGGGAGAATTAAGGATTAAGAAAAATTATGTTAGAGAACTCAGACTGAAGAACTCATGGATCGAGAGAGAGAGACTTGGCATTTCTTTAAATCAGAGGTATAAAATCTATCTTTGTTCTAAATGGACAGAATTAAAAAAAGAGAGAATCCTTGGGAGGAAGAGGCATTAGCTATAATTGATTACGTAAACATCTCAAAGATATGATCTATAAGCAACTAAGAATGGAAGAAAAGGATTGGTTAACAAAGAAAGCTAGGCCTTGTAAGGCGGAAAGCATTAAACTTGCACTATCACCCAAGGCCAGACTGAGTTAAATCTTGTGAGGTTTGTTTGTTTGTTTTTCCGTATAAGAGAAGAAAAGAAATGAAGCTGCTGTGCAGCCAAGACAATTTGAATTGATAATAACACAGCCAAAAAAGAAATGTATTTCAAAGATCTTGAACTTGAGACAAGGGTGAGGTGACTAATGAGAATGGAAGTAGGAGAATCATAATATCCAAGATGTAAACAAAACTTAAAGAGCTTAACCTACTCAAAATGTAAATACTGGAAGAAGCAAGAGAAAACCCCAGAAGTGACAGAGCTGTCTTACAAAACCGTATCTCCTCTAGCAATTTTTTTAATAAATTCATCTATTATTTATTCTCTTCTACAATGTGTCTACCATTCAGTCTTAGCAGTTAATGTTATCCGTATGCTAAGCTATAATCATTATCAGCACCATCTGCTTAGTGCATGCTCTCTATATCTTTAATTGCTGTGTTTGGACATATTGCTGTCTGTACATACACATTATACAATAATACAAACGTCTTGTTTAGATTTCAATGCATTCCATCATCTGATGGACAATAGGCATCCTGCTAGTCAGCCTATATCTTACTAGCCACGTTCTCAAGATTCCCATCACTTCTGTTGTACATTTACAGTAGCCACTTCAGCTTCCTGCTTTTTAAGCAAATCTGCATGGGCTTTGGCTCAGATATTCCAAGTGAAATCTCTAAAAGTACTACTTCTCTAATTCTATCAGAAATTCCTCTCTGGATGCATTTTAGGATCATATTTTCCTTCTTCCCAGCAGTTCATACTGAAGCTAATAATCAGCCTACAAACCATATAGTAAATTCTGCCTCTTGGTCTGTAGCAATAATTCTTACTATGACTTCCTAATAACATAAACTTGCACCAGGTACAATGACTTGTCATTCCATTTCTGTTAGCCACTTATTTTACCCACACTGATACTTCCTTGTGTTGTTGGCTCCCAGTTTTATACGATCAACAAATTCCACTTGACCGCTCCTTGGTTTTATGCCAAGACCATCAGACAAAGACTGGTCCCAACATTGATCCTTGAGAAACATCGCTATTAGCCCAACTTAGAAAGTGTCTGCTTTTCAAAACACTTGTTTCAGTTTCTCCTCTAAGGAATTGCTTCCCAAGCTTAGAATTGCTTTCCCGTCCTATTCTCCAGTATAAGGATACAATGTATGGGAAGGTAATTAAATGTATATAAAGTAAGTCCCCAGATCTTTGGACTTTAAGTGCTTGGCAACTGACCTCCCTGTGGTTTTTTGTTTGTTTGATGGTTTTTTTGTTTGTTTGACTGCTATGTAATTTGCTACTACAGGAATCCCAGTAATGAATTCCAACCTTGAACTGGGCGTGCGGCTAATGGAAGCTAAAAGCGATGGAGTGCCTACTGATGGGATATAAATAGTGGTTAGCAGGGTGACCCTGTAATCCACAACAGCTAGTCAGGGATCCTAAGCAAAAGAAGTAGCTAGTGGGAGAGGCAGACCCTATAAGAAGGAAGCTGGCAACAACAAAATATTGTGGAAAAGACCTCAGACTAGAATAGGATTCTAGTCTGGAGAAGGATTCTTAAGATCTTCAGACAAATGAAGTGGCTATCTTATAAAGAGAAGATTTGCTGGTTTACCTAGCAAAAGGAAGGTTGAGAGATAATCTTATTGCTGTCTATGAACCACAGGAGGGTATATACCAGGCCTGGAAAAGTACTCTTTAAACTACGAAAGAAAGATGGAGCAGGAAAACTGTATATAGACCAGTATTAAATAAGTTTAGACTGGCAGTTAGAAGAAATTTTTTAACTCACAGAGTGAAGTTTTGGAATGGCCTTCCAGCAAGATTAATGCAATGCGATCAAAAAGACCAATTTTCAAGAGAAGTTCAATCAGCTGGTGATAGAGACTGGAGGTGTGTCTGCAGCATCAGGCAGAAAAACACAATGGCACCATGTTCATGCAAATCCTGTGTTCCTCAATGACACAAAGCATGAATTGTCATTAAATTGGAAAATTAAATTGCTACTGTCTCACTCATGTCACTACCCTTACTAGTAAAAGATATGAGTAACCTTCGAACGTGGTGGGGAGGGAGAAAAGAAGTACTTCTAAGTGGGAGGGGTCTATTTTAAGAAGTATCACAAGCAATGAGCAGTGCATTTTCAGACGAGATGGGACATTTAAGCCTTTGCACCTTGCTTTATAGTCCTTGAATACAGTATATCACCAAGCAAAGTCCCCACAATTAAGTATATAGCAGTAAAATACCTTTGCTAGTAACCTCTGCAACTGATACCCGGGGCAACAAGGGTACAAATAAAATGCGTTCTGATCCTCCACACCGCTGTAAATTAGGTCTGCAGTTACCTTATCCATTAATTGTTTGGCCTTAATACATGACTCAAAGTGATTTATGTTTCTTCTTGATTTGAGCCTAATAGGTTTAGTGTAGTAATTAACCAGGGAAGGATGTGATTTCAGTAGCACTACATTCTCTAAATTCCCCAGGCTGAAGACTGAATCATTTATCCGAACTTGCCTTAACAGCAGTATAGATGTAACCATGTAAACTTAAAGCTGTGAGGAACTAGGTACCACTACTTTGGGATCAGATGCCCATGACTATGAGAGATCCATTCTGATTCACTGTTCAAGACAAAGCTGAAGAAACATGTTTTCTGCCTGTGTCTAACTGGTAATCACATATGGCCTAATATAGTACATGGCCACATATACACACATAAAGTCCATTTTTGTCAATCAGCAGCATGACAGTCTCTCATTCTGGGTCTCATAAATAAGGAAGTTAGATGGGACAGACTTGCATACAAACACATCTCAAGTACTGCCAGCCGAGACATTAAACAAATTGGCTGACTGAATGCTATCCACTTAACCAAAGAAGTGGCTTTCTGACTGCTCCAAGAAACATCCTTCCCTTCAGCCAGAGCAAGCATAACAAAGGCAAGCTTGGTAGCACCTGAATAGCCATTCACTTCCATTAAGTGACTCGACTGAGTCTGTCCAAGCAGTTCAGCTAATGATGCCTAATGCTTTGCCCCACAGGGGTATGCCACTTGCCAGGGAAACATCCCTGCAGAACTGCTTCACAGTTCATGCAGCTGGTGACCGCTCAAGCAAGTTTGAGTGTTTTTGTAATGCAGCTGAAGAGTATGATTTGCCTCTTGAAGCACCACAGTGCAGTAAGAACGCTATGCAGGTTTGGTTTGCTGCATTTTCTTGGTGAAGTGCCCTTTCTTTGATCATGGTCAGGTATGGAAAGACTTGGTCCTTAGCTGCCTCTTCATACTTGAGAGCTGTTCAAAATTCAGCTCATTTAACTAGAGCAGGCCTAGTTTTAGAGAAGGCCTTAAAAATGATTGATCTTATTTAACTCAAACTCTCTCCAGAGGAACTTTGCCTTTAACCACAAGCCAACGTGAGACATTTAAGTAGAAAGGAGCTTTTCTAATAAAGTAAGATACATTAGTAAAGTAGCTGAATTTATACAGCATGCAAAGTGTTCTCTAATTTTAACAAAAACTCTGTTTACATTCCATGTTCCTATTTCAGCATCTACTAAGTCAGTGAAAATTTTAACATTGACTACAAGGCAAATGTAATTTGATCCTTAATTATAGCATTAGTAGAATAACATATTGCTGCTAAGGTGGCCGTATTGTATTCTCACTTATGCTGGACTTTTCTCTGCTGAGGAAAAACTTCCTCAGGCTGTTGCAATTATTTTAATTTTTCTGGAGATGAAAGACAGGCCTGTTTTGCAAAGATGCTGGTTTAAAACCACATAGCATTCAGGGAAGGGTGATTATTTGTTGTTAAAAACAATATAGCAAGAAAGCTTAATTTAATGTGGGAATTTATGGTACATGGAGGGAGGTTTTTGTAAAAACCACCTCCTTTTAGCAAAATGGAAAATTTATTATAAGCAATTTTCAACTGGTACAGTTTTGAATTCAATACCTGAAAGACAGGAAAAAACCCTAAGACATAAAAATAATAACATTTCGTACATGAAGCTGTGGCAGTAAGGTTCCTTATTAGGAGCTAATAGTTTGCTTATTTAGCAGATCTAAAATTTTAAACTGATGGAAACAACTGCAGTCAAAGATGTTACAATGACAATTCATAGATTATCTCTTGAACTAGCCACAGGAATTTTTATTTGCAACTGTTTAATTGAACTATTTAACTATTAGCGACAGAAAGAAAATATTGGATAATTTTTCAAAGAATCTATTTTGACTTGTATAAAGGAAGGCACAGCGTAGAACTAACTTTTAAATAGATTTTGGATATTTTGGGAATAGTCAATTTGGCTTAAAAGGTTCCAAGTATCAACTCTTTCTGGAAACATATACAACATTTACTCAAGATGCACTCAAAACTGAGAAATAAACAAAAATAATATTTCTTGGCAAGAGGTATATTGCTAAGAAAAACGATTTAAGTTTCGAGATTCCTAGAAGCTGACTTGCGGAATGCGTCATTAAGGGACAGAAAGCCTTCAAAACCAGCGTTAGAAAAAAAGCTCTGTTAATTGAGAGTTTAAAACATTACAAAACCGTACATTTTGAAGGGAGCTTATGCAGGATAGTGAAGAAGAAAAAAGTTGGAGAGTATATTTTATGCTCATGCTTATGTCACAGCTGTACATCTGAAGTCAGTACTGTGGAAAAGGACATTCTGTACAGGTGCAGATATGCAATTGAGCGAACACAGATCGGCCACACATATTAGCAACATCCCCTCATTTTATTCTTAAATATTTGACAGAAATTACCTCCAAAATGATCCCAGATCTAATCCAACTAGAGCTCTTGCGGACATTCACAGAAGTCACATAGGAGGGACTTCAGGAACAAAAACTGAATGTGTCTTTTCTTAGCAGAAACAGTTCCAGAAAATGAGCAGACAAGTGTAATAAATCCATTTCCATCTGCTCTGGGGGTGCTGAGTTCAAATACAGACTGTGTCATGTAGCACTGGAAGGTAAGTTGGATAAGATGTCCACACAATTAGCATGCAGACAGAAACTCAGTGCTCAGGTCCAGGAGATCACACCTCTTTATTTGTAACGGGAGATCAAATTCAGATATCAAAATTGCTCACCTGGCAGAGATTTTCCTTACCTTCTTCCTCTAACTGGTGGTCAGTACTGTCTTTTAGGTCTTCATCCACCCATGGGCGAGATAGAGGCTTGCTTTTTGTCTCACGTTTTTCTGTATCTCCATTATTCTTCTTCAGTATTGCCGCAATCAAAACACATATAATGGCTATAAAGATTGGGGTCAGGGAAGAAAAGAGTGCCATGACTACGGAAATGTCCGTCTTTCTAAGTTCAATATTCTCTCTCCTGAAAAGAAGAGGAGGAAATGGGAATAACAGTAAAGCAGTAAGCAGAAAGGGGTGGACCTGGATATGGAAAAGAAAGGAGGGTTCAGTCCTCCAACTCTTTTCTACTTTCACTTTTCAGCCACTGCCCCTGCAGTCTCATCTGGGATGTGCTCCTACCGTTAAGCAGATCCAGATTTATCTATTTTCTGGGAATAAATTGCTTACAAACAGCAAGCAGAGGCACTGACCGCATACAAATGCACAAATACTGTCAAATGCAAAAAAAAAAAAACACCTCTAAAACACTAGACTAAGAAAAAACACTCCCCCCGTAACTATTTTAGTTATATAGATCCTAATAATCTTACTTGTAGTAATGAGTATGAGAAAGATTCAAGTAGGAATGTGACTTTTTAAAACTGACAGCATCTCTTTAATGATTAACTTGTAATTCTTAGTCATGCTACATGTATCTCAGGAAAGCAGAATATGATCAATTGAACATGAGTTTATAGAGCAACCCGTGGCTGTATAAACAGGTCAATAAAGCAGATAAGTAAAGTGGTAGCTTTACCTTTGTATGAAGCATGAATGAGATTATTCACAGAACCCTGTATCCAGAAAAACAACAGAATTCAGGGAATAGAAATGAGAATGGTTTGAGAGTTGAAGGATCAATGCTGTACTGAATTTTAAAACTCTAATTCAACTAGCTTATCAAAGGAAAGATTAATAAGTGGTAGGATCCTGCTCTAATCCAGGAATGGTCAATGTCTACATGCCTAACCTATTTTTTTCTTCTGTCAGCTGCTTGGGAACTGAATCAACAGTGCAGTATTGAATCAGTCTCTTTACGTGGGACAGTTGAGACATTCAGGATAATGAAAAACCAGGTGGCAATGGGTGCAAAGGGGTGTGCTGGAGAGCACAGTACAGCGATACTGACCATGTGCAGTTACCAGTACCCATCATCTTTTTAGCCCCGGCTAAGCACTAACCCTGTCAAGCCTTATCTCACTCTGCACAAGACCAACTCTAAAGTCTCTGAGTCCATGACAAGCTAATCCTCATTTGGATATGCCCACCAAGGGTAAGGGAGAGCCGTCTGTGGTTTTAACCATGCCAGGACGCAGGGTGCCCAGGGCCGGGCACATCACACACTGGGAACGGCACCTGCTGGGGAGAGCTGCAGAGCCTGTCTTGGGCACCCCCCGCCCTGTTGGTACAGAAAGTAGAGCATATGGAGGGAGAGGCAAAGTTAGAGCGTGCCTAGGTTTCATCTTGACAGGGTCTCAGTCCATAGCCTAGCCATTCACATCTCTTGTCCCCCCAATTTTGCAGCACTGAGCACACCCATACTGGTCCTTCTAAACACTGCCACCCCATAAGCTCCCTGCCATATGCTTTCTGACTTCACATGCTTTGGGGAATACTGTCAGGTGCCTAGAGGAAGGGTCTGTACATCAGAAAGCATAAATAAGGGTTGTCTTGGTGCACAGGCTTTCTGCAGGCCAAGGGAATTGCTGAGCTGCTCCTGCGTCGTCTAGATGTGCTTAAAGACAAAATGAAACTGCCTCACAGCTTGGACCTAGGCCAGGCACTACCAACTGCCCATCTCAGGTACAGAAAGCTTCACTGCTGTGGCAATGCAGCCTATCTCACTGCACAGTTCCCAGGTCCAAGACAGGTCCTGGTCGTTCCGTGCAAGGTATGGGATCCATATAACATGAATATCCTCCAGAACTAGCACAAATCCATCAGAGATGAAATACAGAGGACATGCAGAAGTTGGCTTAGGTTTCCAGTTCAGTAAAACTGATGCTAGACAGGCACCTATCTCTTACTAAGAGGGCCAGCTGCTTGAAAACTTGAGCCACAAATCTTCTCTTCCTTTCTCTGTAGTCCATATATAATCTGTATCATCTGCTTGGGTCATTGATCTTGGGTTTTCCAAAAAAAAAAAAAAACAAAAGAAAACCTGTACACTGCACGTGAATAGAAAGGACAACAATTATCATGTGGGAGAAAGAGTTCAAATCATCCTCTCTCTCCTTGATTTAGAGCAGACATTTAAACCCATTTCTCCTGCCTAATGGCCATCCAGTCAAGGGGAAGGATACTTCACCTAATCCCAATCAGAAACGTTCGTTTTGTTCATGTGAGTAGAATAGATTTTATCAGACAGATTTTCAACATCCTATTGGATGTCAGGGAAGGAAAAAGGAATGTAATCTGAATGGCACTGACTGTTTCTCTCACAAGGAATATATTCTTGTTAACCTTGAATATTCACATACACATAAATTAGTATCTGGGTGCTTTGCAGCTGAGAATCCATTCTGCAGAGAGACAGGTTGTGCTGAAGGCAAGAAAGAAGCAATATAGAAGGCTGAATCCTATTGTTTAAAATAACTACCTTCTTTACAATGCTGGGAATTTGGTAACCTCTCTCTCTTCTGGAATAGCTTTGAATTTCTCAGAGGTGATGAGATATTAATTTTTCTCTTGTAGAGCAGAGAAAGAAAGCTAAATAAAAGTCTATTTGATATTAACTTAAGCAAAGTTTCTATTAGCTGCAATATATTCAAGACTGTTGACTTGAACTTCATCCCTACAGAAATCCCACAATACCCTGGTTTATTGAAACCTGATTTAGTTTCAATAACTCCATATCATGGATATTCAAAATATAAGCACAGTGATGCTCTGAGGAACTGTGGGGAAGGGTGGATGGAAACAGACAATTTGTGCATAGCGGATTTTCATCAGCTTTTCTTAAGGCACTTGAAGATTTTCTTCCATCCAAACTTTATATATACATACAAGGATTATTATCATGACAAGTAGAAACAACTTTATTACAATTATTTCTTCTATTCTATTGTAAGCCCTGAAGCCTAGTACCTGGGATGTAAATGACTGGAGAGCCCCCAAATACGTAAATTATCGGTGAGCATATTATCTGTATAGGGTGAGTGCTGGCTACACGAGGATACAGAAGTTGATGGAAAAGAGACTGTGAATAGCCAGGCAGAACCAAAGCCAGCCTTCCCCCCAGTCTCCTACCTATGTTTTTCTATCAGCACTTTTTCAGAGAACTCTAAGATTTCTTACAAAATGCTATGGGAAACCAACAATGTCAGAACATTTAAGAAAGGGATTCAGTTTATTTAATGAGGTTGAATTAGCTATCAAATACTCAGTATGGTAGTTAAAACACGTTATTCAGTAAGTCTCTAAACTTCTGACTGGCGAAGCCTGAGAAGATATACTGAAGGAGGGACCCGTTTGTGCAGCCCTCAGTCTTCTGTTTTTTCCTAATCCTTTGCCTTTGGCCATGGCCAGACACAAGCTATAGTGCTAGGTGGCCTCAGATGGATTTTGGCTTAGTATGAGGATTCTTACATTAGCCAGAAGTACACCTGTATAAAGGAGAGCATTACTAGAAGAGAAGAATGATAATAGGGAATATATAAATGAACAGAGTAGGATGAAGGAGGTAGTTATAATAAATATAGTTCAAGTCTATGAAGGAAAATACTGTTTTGAGTGCTATCTACAAATAGAAGTACTCAGTACGCATCTCTTTGAACTTTACCAGTTACACCCACACAAGGAACATGTCCATTAATTCTGCTACTAGTCGGCGTACATGCCACTGTCATCTGGACCTTTGAGTGATATACCAGTATGGGCCTGTGAAAGTGTTCACATAGACAATTTGCAACAAATTTGGTTAGAAGCAGGAGAAAGTGGCCACAGGGTGTCTAGAGATGCAGTAAAATGTTTGTATTCTCCGGGCATCAGAAACAGAAGTGAATTTCAGATTAGAGTTAATGTTTACTGAAAAACAAAAACAAAACAAATGCCATCCATGATCAGTCACTACCTCAGTGCATATCTGCTATAGGCAAGGCAGAAGCACAGGTAAACCACTTAATCCAATTTCCCAGTCAATGCATAGAGACAAATGTCTGGGATGATTTGAAACTTGCACTTCATCAGGTATCGGCATTACTAAAAACATCACTAGCTTGACAAGTGTCTTCAACTCCATGAGTCGTCTAGTCCATACTCTTTGGCCTCCATCAGTGACCAGCATACTGTGCCTCTGAGCAAGGCGGCCCTTACTTTTGTGCTGTCTCTTGCCTCCTCTGCCCTGCACGCACATAACTGCCTCCTTCCCTTCCCCGTCAACCATACGATCTCTTTATTACCCCTAGAGAAATCAGATATCATGCCCTGTAGCATTAGATTTGATTATCTTTTTCATTAACTTAGTTCAGATTGCCACAAATGTTATTATTGGTTATGAACTAGCCTTTTGAAATCTAACAGCACAGTAGCTAACACAATTACATCCCATCTCAATGAAGGCACGAGACAACAACACGCACCGCAATAGAGTAATTCTTTCCATTTGTTTTCAGTGTACTGCCCTTGAATTGCAAGCTCCTCACATTTATATATTATGGGGCAGAAGAAATAACCTAGCAGTAGATAACGTGATTCATGAATATTTTTCTAAATAAAATCACCCATTTATTAGGATCTGTGCTACCAGATAAATCTTTACTCATGTCCAAGAGGACAACAGTAGTCTTAAAAATATTTGTGACTTCAGAAAATGACTTAAATTTTAACTCATAGAATAATTTATCCTCAGCTTCATACAGGCGTGATTTGTTATTGCCATACCAGTCCTACCACCATAGGCATGAAAGAGAGAGTTCACCTGTGATAGGAGTCTGACAAACATTAATGGCAGTACTCCTTGGAGTAAAGCTGCTTGGATGAGTTTTCAGGAACTTTGAAAATTTCAGCTCTCCAAACAGGAATCTCAGAAACATCACATAACTTGTAGGAGGAGCCACCAATGTTCTACAACTAACAGAGCTTGCAAGTTATTTGCCCAGACTGTAGAGGTACATAAATACAGAAAGTCACAATATTATTTTTCCATGATCAGTTTTAGGCATAGTCTCTAATAGGCTCTGTTTTCTTCTGTGAGTACCACTTGTTTACCCTTGATGCAAGCCCACAGGGAAAAAAAAAAAAAAATCAGGAAAAAATAAAAGGCCATTTTTCTCTGTATTGAATGCCCATGCGTTAGGCGGGAGGGCGCAGCCTAGTAAGGGCTATTATAATCTCTTCGGAGCTGTGGTGTTTGGGAAGAAGGAAGGGATTAGCAGTGGCCCCCTCCCAATGGCCAGGAAGTGGAGAGTAACCTGCACCAGGTAAAGTACACAAGTTAATTCTCAGCATATTGGACCAAAGAGAGGGAGGTAAAGGCA